TCCCCACCTGGTTTTGGCAGCTCACTCAGAATCGAACATAAACGGTGGTGGCTTACATGTCTGCTGAAAATCCCTGGATTTTGTGGGTTCACAGCTCAGTATCATTTTCCCGTCTGCCCGTGCCAACGTGCCACAGCATGTAATCAGCCGTGTGTTCAGACCAGCCAGCCAGTCTGGAGTCTGAGCAGGCTGTGAAATGCCAATACGAGAGGAGGAGCAGATTTACAGGTCTTACTTCCTCTGAATATCCATCCTCACACATCTGGTTTAGCAGTTGATTGATACCGGACACGTAGTCTCTGAAATTAAACAAGCAACTGCGATGTTTTCATTTGGTCCCAAATGTATGTCTAACATCTGCAGGAGTAAACTCAACAAACCAAACAGTGGTCAGAATATAGACCGAGTTGGCAGGTCATTAAAATGTCTAAAGTCATTAATCCGTGTTATATAATTACATTAAAATATAAATCCATGATATCCATGTTTCAAAGTAGCATTTCATCAGATTTATATTACAGAAAATAGTTTTTACACATATCCAAGCTCTTTTCTGCAGCTCTGCTCTCTGATTCAAATTTCTCCCCAAGGATTAGATAACATTACAACGCAGCCATAGCACAGCTATTTTCTCATCTAACTCTGCGAATGAAGGGCTTATTTAGACCAAACCAGAATTGGTGATTGTTGGAAAGACTGGGGAAAGACTAATAAAGATGGTTCAGGTGACTTTTATTTTGTTTCTGTGCAGTTTGAAGTGTGTTTTAAGATTATTTGTTTGGTAAATGTTTGTGATTTTGTCAGTTGAGACTGGTCGGTCGTAATACCCATTGATTGGTACCCATCTAGTGGTAAGTGGATTGCGTATATATATATAACCTTTAAGTGTGCACATGTGTGAAAAAACTATTATTAATGCCTGAAATAAATAAATTGAGGGCTGGCTGGCAGCCGGTTATTTGTGGCTCACCTCAAGCATTATTCCCGCTATCGGCCGGCCCAAAGACAGACAGTTCGCCAAACACATTCTCATTCAGGTTGTGGTGTTTGTGGTTGGTACAATAAGGAAACAAATCTGGAAATCTTAGGATTAATTTAAGCAAAAGACAAACAACTCTCAGTCACATTAGCCCTTAATATACACAGAAAGAAAGTGTAGCAATAATAGCATGAACATGAGCTCTACTGGACATTGTTATCTAATGAACAGAGCAAACCATGTTTAGTTTTTCCCAAGGAAATATTTATTGAAAATGCAAATGTACATTTGTATGATACAAATCCTCTTGAACTCGACTATCCAGGCGGGTCTGTTTGACATGAACAAACACATTAAGAATTTAGTCCACAGAGAAACATGCATCTATAACGCACCACCATGCTCTCCTGATATCTTCTTTGCCCTCACGGTATTCTGTCATCGGGAAAAAAAACTAATCAAAGTTTTGGATCCTGTTTGGTTTTGTTTGTTCTCCAGTTGGGCTTCTCTTCTCATCGTGTTGTCATCCACAAGATCAGAACAGCTGTGCTCTATCAAACTCCAATAAATAAATAAAGTGCTCCACATACAGCTGGATTTAAATCAGTTAATACACCTCACTAGTGTTGATTATATAAAGTATATTTCACATCACTGAATATACAGTTTATTGTTGTCTTTCTAAAAGTGAAATATCTAAGAATTTGATATTGCAAATCATTTTTAAAAGTTAGGAAACTGAGTTATTTACAAAAACAAGGCAACATAATGAGGAATTCTGGGTAAAATATTAATCTCCAAAGGATGATGATGTTTCCTGATTGAATGTATTGCAAACTCATTTTCAAAACTTTTTGATATATATTTTTAAATCTTTTACTTTTCAGCCATAACAGCACAGAAACACTCTGAGAAGACGAGCGGGGAAACAAGTTCCCACTAAAACACTAAAGATCAACTTACTTTTGCCTTTGCTGAACATTTTCTCTTCTCTGCAGGCTGACAGGGAGGTGGCAGAGCGGCAGTACAGTAAAGCAGAAAGCTGTAGCTCTTTGCATTGTGTTTTTAAAGGTGTCAATGTATTGTTTTGATCAATTATCAATTAGGTATTATCAGAACAGTATTTAGACACAGGCAAGAAATCTGCTGGTTTTATGAAAAAAAAAGCAGCTAAAATGTTGCGAGCAAAAGCACCATAACTACTAAGTGCGGTAAAATAATAAAAGTCAACTCAATTCCAATGAGCAACGTAACATTATTTGTGATTTCTTTCTATTACATATTTGTGTGATGACTTTCTGTGCTGTCCAATATTTTATTTTATATATGTATATATATATATATATATATAGCATGAACTATTTCTCATGGCAATCCATTTTCAATTGAGATTAAGTGGATAATCTTATTTTATTTAAATTTTTTCTTTTGACATTTCAAAGTGCTGACAAACACTGCAATGACAGTTTGCATTATATATAATAGTTCCATAATTATATATAATACTTCGTAGTCGTCAGGTGCCCATATAAACAAAGAAGCAGTGTTTTTGGTTTGTTTGGGGTTTTTTTTGTTGAATCATCTCTGTTCATATTGGCTGTTAAGAAACTTCCTAATGTGCTTTCAATGAAAGAGATGGACAGAAATACCTTAAAGAAATAACTTATTTGAAGTTGATCTGAGGCTTCAGCGGTCTGAGTTAGACAAATCGAGTATCTTCCAAAGTGACTGTCCAGGAAATAAAGGGACTTTTGTACTAAAATGATCATAAAAGAAAACATCTTTGCACAGACTGAGTACTGTGGATTTTGTCCACTATCACTCACACTGAATGCACATTAAGAAGGGAACTTTTCATGGCCAGTATGAACAGGAGGCAATATTACAGTAAGAAAAAACTGTTTCAAAGTCCATAATTTGTCCTTTAAGACATGATATTAATAAATGAAGTTTTAAGCAATAAAAATCCCAAATTACTCATCTTGTGGTGTCAAATAGGCCATGCTATAGTCTTTTTGTTTCCCAGGGAAGGTAAATATCAGAGGTCAAAGGTCACTTTCAGTGCCCTGTAGTTAGCAGCTGCCAACTGAGTGGTGGTGCAGTACCACCTCCCTGCCAGCATAGGCATCAGGACAACTAACTGTTAGAGCAAAAGTCATGCAGTCCTGCCAATCAATCAACAGCTCAGTATTTCACTCTCCAAACATCCTAAAGCAACATGGCTGAGTGGTTCTTCTTCCTCTTCTTCTATCACACTGTGTGTGTATGTAGTGTGTGTGTGTGTGTGTGTTTAGGACCACTGGCAGGAGCAGTCGGTGGGCTCCTGGATGGTGTAGCTGACCCAGGTTGCGTTGCCGCTGCAGTAGAGCTGCACGGAGCGTCGCTGCAGCCCTGTCTCCCTGCAGCACTTGCAGAAGCGAGCATACGTGTTGATGTTGTAGTTGTAGATGCTGGCAGACGGACACTTCCCGTCACATGACACAATGTTTACCTGCAGGACACAGAGAGTCAATGCAGAAGGTAGAAGGGCTGCAAAAAGTACCAGAAAACTCTTATTCTGGCAAATTAATCTTTAGCTTGTCCTACAGGTGCTGAAGGAGACACTAAAATGTGTATCTTTATGGGTATCAGTTTAGGTTAAACGTATATGCAGATGATATACTGCTCTCCCTTAGTTACTTTATGTGTGATTTTATAATTAATGGACAGAATGAATTGGAATGATAATGGATAGATACATTTATGTTGAACCACAACATCGGATTTGAGAATTTTCTTCCTGTTCTGCTAAGACTTTGTCAAAAAGCTCAAACAGCAGCATCACATCACAACAGCTACAAAACATACCGGTCTGTTGCTGCGACAGTCGTTCTTCCTGATTGTCATCCTCACCGTCACCTTCTGACACGACTTGCCGTCTTCTTTGCCTGTTCACACGACAACAAACCAAATCAGTTGGAACAAAGTTAACATGAGATAACCAAAACAAAGCATCTGACCAGTAGCATGTAGAGAATACAGCAAACACCAGGAACGACAGGAGGATGTTGGAGAAGAAAGAGTCCTGTGAGGCACTGAGGCTGGAAATCATGCGCAAGATGTTTTAGTTTGATGAGTTAGATGAAGAAAGAGAAGAAATGAATGCCCAGAAATCATGATAAAGTGTTTTAGGTAGAAAGCAATAAAGAAGGAAGCTCCCCAGTCAGTCAGAAAGGACAAATTAAGTTTCTTCCAAATAAAGAAAAATATGCAAAAATAAAAATAAAAATACTGTAGTGATGATGAGATCCTTCATGCATTTATTGTGTACACAAAAAATCTTTGAAAACATTTTTATCTTTCAAAGAGGGTAAATAAATGAAATGATCCATGAATAAAACAAAAAACTGTTTCTGTAAACATGCTCCATCAACCTTTGTGCCATTTGGCATAAAAAACAATAATAAACAACAAGAAAAAAAGCATAAACTTAAAGCTGCTGTGTGTGGCATTTAGTCTTTTTCCACATTAAGATAACATACCACATATCAGAAAGATATATGTGACTGTGATTCAGTTTTTCCTCAACCAATCTGTAAAATGTTGTTTATTTTTCTTCATTGTGACAATGATAAAAGGTCGTAATCTGGTTACAAAGAACAATTACGTAGTGAGAATATACAGCACTGGGAATAAATTAGCACATAAATTCAACATAAATATTTGAAAGATTATACTGATTATACTGGTTAAGTTTGTTACATGAACAAGAATGTTGTCATGTCATCAGTTTGGTATGGCAATAGGCTCTAAATACTACATTACCCATCAGCTTCAGTGGCCGTTGTTAGGCAAAGATGGGGTACAAATCATGAGCCTGTTTTAAAAGAGTGCTGATTGTTGCTCACTAATTGCAGGTGAATAATAAATAGTCTTACAGCGCATGGTAATGCATGGATTGCAAGCTCTGTATGTTTGTTTTGATTGGTAAAATGTGTCAAAATAAGAGAGAGGAATTATCTTGACTTGCAAATAGAAACTCTTCTAATATTGACCCAGTTTCTACAACAGTTTCTTTAGCTTTAGTCTGCAAATAATTTCTTACCAAAATGCTCCTTGTTTGAATTCTCTTCTTAAGTTTTTATGTCCACAGGTTTGTACGTTTGAACCAGATATTCACACATCACCACAAAGCTGAAAACAGGGCTGTTTTTCTGAGCTCATGAAAAATGTTGATTTTAGAGAATAAATGGTTCTCACAGGACAGCAACGCTACTAAATTATTATAATCTTATGAAATATGATGCAGTGCTGTAGACAGAACTACCCAACAGTGTATAAAGTTGTTTGAATTAGCACAACCTTAAACATCAAGAGCAGTAAAATGCAACTTAGACATTAATGCAGCATTAATATTAATCCACGAACATCAGATGTAATAGTAAAACACTGACAGGAAACATTTACTGCGCAATAAGTACTGTTACTTTTAATGCTTTCAGTAAATTAGAATTAGAAATTTGGACACTCAAAAAACTCTTTTGACTACTCTATTATCCGACCCTTTAAAAATAAAAGTACAGACAGTTGTTTCTTTTGAAAGTTTGCAGTGATGGTTCTTCGATGGTAAAATGCCTCACACAGTAGCTTCAGTTTTCCACACAGCTCCCCCTGGTGGCGGAGCAGCACTGCAGCAGTGGTGCAGGAGCATGCAGATCTTCTACAGCAGCTACATGTTTCGGTGAAAAGACCCCCGACACCAACCCACAACAGAATCTACGGACACATGCAGACGTCTAAGCCCGACTACTGGGCCACTACCAACAGTACATTGTTGGCAATCAACAATGCACTGCCCAGACAGTGCTAAATGGGGAAAGAGTTTGGCTGTCGTGTACATGTACGTGATCCACGGGGAGGGACGGGAGGTAAATACTTGTTACTGTCCTCTCAAGTGTGACATCATTTTTGGCCTACATAAAGGATTGTGTCCCCGCCTCCTTTTAAGGTGTAAAAACACCTTAATTACATCATTACGATATCTTTTTAGGATTAAAAACATATGAAAAAACAGAACTCTCAAGCAAAACTTGGAATTTAGCAGCTCCATGAAGCGAGGAGAACTCAACATCTGTACCGAAATTCGTTAATAAATAGGCCTATACTTTTATTTGGTTTAGAAGGTCATTTCTTGGCTCTGTTTCGCTGAAAAATCTTCTTCTGATTTTCTATTTAAGGCAGAGAACCTGAAATGAGACAGCAGTTGAGAGGACTGTTCTGCAGATTGCAGTAGGTTGCAGTCAGACTTTGGGGTTTCCTGTGTGTTTTATTACTATTCTTTTGGAGGGAGTACATTGTTGAATATCAACAATGGCACTGACAAGCCTTGTTGTTTTATGTACCTCGTTCACAGTTTGTGTTAACTGTGGGAGTCAAGGGGCTAACGGGGAAGGGGAACAGAGGGAATCCAGTACCTGGTGGGATTGGTACATGATGGTAAGCTGCAGCACATAAACCACAAACCCACTTGCATGTGTTCAGATGCTTTTCAGTGACGCTTTGAATGACAGAATTATCGGTTTCCATTTTTACTGAGAAGACTAAATTCACTGAAAAGCACCCTGACAGACTTCTCTAATCTGAATAAACAGCAGACAAATGTAATGGAAAACAACAGCTGGGATCCAATTCAGACAATGTGGTTAAAGATTCTGGACTGAAACGGACAAACTGAAGGGCAAACATGTTGGAAACATGTTGAGCGGCAGGTGAATGCGCTCTTCAGTGTCAGCTGCAGCCTACAGCTCTACACTAACTACAGAACTGCTGCTACGCTCAGATCAGATACTCACATGTCTTGCAACATCCGTCCATGTAACTTACGACAGTTCCACCGATCTGAGTGCAGATAGGAGTTAAAATGTTACGACAGGAAGAAAGAAAATGTGTGAATTTGTGTGAAACCCTTCGTCTTTGCATCAGTTCAGCCAGTAGGGTTTTTGAAGGATGATGACGCTCCTGAAAGCTGTTTTTTTGTGTGTGCAAATATTCAAAATGTCAGACAAATCATTTAGAGTTTTCTGGATTTACTGCCTGAAAACGCTTTTAGATGAGTGGTTCTCTTTTTCTGTCATGCCCCCTTTCGATTTAAATTTGTAATTAATCAACAACAGATTAATGTGCAAATGAAAAATGCAAACTACACTTAGGAGTTAGCTGTGTTACTCTTATTACACATGTCAAATATGTCAAAAATATATTTTTTGCCTGTTTTTAGATTAAAACTTTTGCCTCCTTCTGAAAAGTGTAGTTTTTTTAAAAATAATTGCATTCAGGGGTGAATAAAAAAATCGAGTCCAATAACACAGGACTAAATGTATGTGACAGATCCAGCCACAACATTATATATAAAACCTGCAAGAAAAAAGTAATTTATAAACACACCTTTGCAGTTTTAGTGACAATGACCATACAGCCTAAACAACAAAAAAAATATTGTCATTTTATCTGATCTTGAAGAGATCATTCAATAAGATGTGTGACTGGAGGGAAAAAGAGGAAACATGGTTTAACTCTGTACACATGACAGTGTCTGTGTGCTGTTGCATGCTGACCTTCATGCACTCGGTTTCATTGAACGGTGGGCAGCTGAAGGAGTACGAGATGAGCGTGGGTCCGGACAGAGTTTCTGCGCAGTCGAACTTCATGCAGTTTGATACCCAGGACTTCCCCGGCTGAAAACACACCGACAGCATCAAAAACATCAACTGCTGAACTACAGAAGCAACGTACTGTCGCAGCTCGGATGGCTAATCTGATTCAGTTACAGTCAGTGTTTTGGTTGACTGTATGAAACTGGGACAATATGAGCAAAATGTGTTTAAACTGGAGTCAGACTGTAGTTGGCATAAGCATCATTCATCTAATGATAAATCTACCATTTTTTATGAACATAGAAGGGAAAAAAAGAAACTCAAGGAACACTTGTTATTTATGGAGCTTTCAACTTTATCTCACTGTCTTCAGCAGCAGATTCAGATGCAGACTCAGAGTTTGAGATGGCTCAGATGTGATAACAGGTGATTGAATACTGCAGTGGGAGTGACTATCTGTTATCAAATTATCAGCTGATGAATACAGTGAGATATGGCTGAAAGCTCCAGAAAAAGCTAGTAAGTGGACCTGCAGTCAGAATTTTTCTTTTATCAAGCTAATGTCTTGACTACAAAATGTACTTTGTACCAGACCCACTTGAAAACTGAAACCTGAAACTACAGGTTATATGAGACATTCAAAAAATGTATGAAAAATATTCAGAATTGAATGTGTAATTAATGTATAATTAGTCGACTTCCTACCTTATAGAGAACTGTTGTGCCGTTCTCGTGTTCGTAGAGGCAGGAAATATTCTTACAAACACCGCAGCACGTCGACTGATCCTTGGGAGGGATGTAAATCTGATTCTGAAACACAAACGTTTAAGTTTAGTTATGTAAAACAAGGAAAACTAGAAAAAGACGATGTATGGATGTATA